AAAAAAAAAATACAAGTTGCACCATGTTTTTAAGAAAAAAGCTTCACTGTTAGTGCCACAGAGTAACATTAAACCCCACTCAGCATCCAGGGATTAGTATTCCAGGTGGATGCAAGTGATAAAATGATAGCAGCTCCAAATAAAGAACATGATTTGTTCTTCACAGCACTTTACAGAAGGTGGTTTATAACAGATAAAACAGTAACCAGCCTACTGAACTTAAAGCTGCAATTATCAACATCAACAATCTGAAAACAGATTGCTAATAGTGATAATCCGATAGTGTATTATCACTCAACTGTGCAGCCTACAGCTCTTTCATTTGGTTCAGTTTTTACTGAACTCATCAATGTCCTCTACAGTAGCAGCCGGCTGTTGTTTTCAGCCAATAACGTCTAAAAAACCCACCGCACGCTACTGCCCAATGACAAATGGAAGTCAGAAGAGGTTAGCAACTATCTGGTAAACATGGTGAATCATTTAGCAGAGAAAAAAAAAAAAGCCAAACATTTCCCTCAGGAGTTGATGTAGAGGATGGCTGCTCTCTAAATGTCGAGTCATCAGTTGAGAAGTTGAGTCAAATCTCATTTTGACAGTCGAATTGTTGCACTTTATTTCTATTTCTTTCCTGCGTCATTGTAGGTCCACACAGAGTAATGCAGAATGACAGCATGGCAGGATATAAACTTTTACAAACAAAGTTATAGCTAATAAATGACCTAACTAAAACGTTAACTGTAATTCAGCTCTGGTGTTGAATGAAGCAAAGTCGACTGAAATAGTTTTTGAATGAGAGGGCTCAACAATAAGGATTATAATTTAAAAGGGAACATCACTCTTTCCATAAGCTATAACTGCTCATCGTTCGACGGGTCACAGGGTGACGGGGGGCTGACACATAGACAGACAACAATTCAGGCTGACATGCAAACTCCACACAGGCCCCACCGTACCATCCTAGCCAAAAACATGACTCTAGTTTTCTATAACAACTTTATAAGGTGATAAT